TTTTAACTATGACAATACATTTCTTCGCACTGTATAGTCCACACAATCGTGAGCATGGGCACTTCAGAACTGGCCTTGCACATTTCGCCCCCACGGGCTCAGTGGCTGCTGACTTCCCTGCCTTCTTACAGAGAACCCATAAACCACAACAAAGAGGTCCCTTTACCACCAGTTTAATGAAGGCCTACATCTTAAATGAATGGCCTGAAACTTCCTGACGTCTCTCCTACATTTTCGACCAGGACTTTTATTACCATTACATAGCTGGGGCCTGTATAAAAGAGTCAGGGCCTGGTCTTCACTCCAACATGCAGGGCCTCCCTGGTGATGGGATGAACCCTCACACCTCCCTCCACACTAATCAACTCCAAAATTAAGGACCTGGGAGGCTCACGCGCCTTTTCTCAGTAAACTTGGCACTGAGTGCCTTTTGCAGTGGTGGGTTGTGGCTGCAGGAGTGTGTCTATAGCATATGTGTGAAAGTCACATATCTGATTCCCCCCCTTAATTCTCAGAGAACCAACTCTGATGGTTCCTCTTTTTACAAATGAGGAAACAGGATTGATCACAACGTCAAGGATTATTCTGAAGCACACAGCTTGAATTCAAATCCATTTAAACTTAGACTTCTGATCTTCATCCCTCAAACCCACACCACCTTGAAACTACATATTTCATGCCTGCCAAGAAGTAATCAATCTCATAAATGCCAGTCTAGAACAAAACTGGGCTAAGGATCATTTAAGGCAGCAGCTTTCAAACTGCAAGCTGAAAAACATTTAGTAGGTTCTGACTAGCAACTTTCTTAAAGAACAAAAGACAACAGATCAGATTGCATCACATTTAAGAATAAACATGGGTCCCTGAAACTTCTGTTTCATTTTAACATAAATATTTATATGTAGGTGTTTCTTGCCTTGAAGACATAGTCCAGAAAAGTTACAAATCTATTACTGATTTAAGGATTAGGTCCCTCTAGATCAGAGTTTAGTTCTGAGGTTTAATTTCTCAGATTTGAAAAGAAATGCTGGAAAACGAATGGCCTGAAAAAGGAAGGTTCTGGGAAAGGCAACTTTGAGCAGATTCATCTTCACCAACAAAGGCAGCAGCGACAGCAGCCCAGACTGTGGCCCAGGCTTTCCTCTCGGCATTTTCCTGGGCTGGGACAATTTCCCTGGGTTGGGAGGATTCTTGTTTTTGAGAGTCTGTATTGACTTGGGAGTCACCGGTCCCTATTGCCACATTCCAAAACTCACACCCCCAACTGACAAAACAAAATGAAAATAACCCCCCTATCAGTTATCTGGTGTACACATTCCAGTTTATATCCTAATAACCTTATGATGTGTGTGTATGTGTCCATAAGCAATGCAGATAAATGCTTTGAGGGATTGTTAAAATCTGCATTCAATTGCATGAGATACATGTCCTCCCACAACATTTTCCATTCATTGTTTGAGAGGTATCCACATCTATGTGTTCATTTATATACTGTGTGCTGCAGAGTATTCTATCACATGAAATACTATAAACTGTTTCCAACATGCTGTCATTACAGGAAACACTGCTATGAACATTATTGGACCGTGCCTCCTGGGATTCATATGGGAGTTTATTCAGGGTATATAATTGGAAGTGGAATTGCTGAGTTGTCATATATACATATTTTCCAATTTATCAAAGATTGCCAACCTCCAGTGTCAGGATAACCACTATTAGTAGTTTGATGCCTATCCTTGAGAGCTTGAGAGCCTACCCGGTACATATACATATGCATACACAATGTGCAAATATGAATATAGACAAATACATGTAACTGTTTTACAAAATGAGATCGTACTTCACATAATATTATGGCTCGTGTTTTATAATGGGTTGGAGAGGACTCTTGTCTTCTGCATTGACTGTGGCCATCTGCTATAGTGTGGATGTTTGTCCCCCCAAACCTCATGTTGAAATTCAATCCCAGTATTGGAGATGCAGTCTAATAGGAGGTGTCTGGGTGATGGGGGCAGATCCCTCATGAATAAATTAATATCTTCCCTGGGGCAGGAGTGGGGTGGGGTGGTGAGTTTACACTCTTAGTCCTGCAAGAGTTGGCTGTTAAAAAGGCCCACAGTTGTTTCCTCTCTCACCATGTGATCTCCACCCACAGTGACTACCCTTTCCCTTTCGCCATGAGTGGAAGCAGCCCGGGGTCCTCCTGAGAAGCAGATGTTAGTGCCATGTTGCTTGTATAGTCTGCAGAACCTTGAGCCAAACAACCTCTTTTCTTTCTTCCTTCTTTCCTTTTTTTTTAAGAGGCAGAGTCACACTCTGTTATAAGCCTGGAGTACAGTTGTGTGATCATAGCTCACTGTAGCCTCAAACTCCTGGGCTCAAGAGATCCTCCCAGTTCAGCCTCCCAAGTAGCTGGGACTACAGGTGTGCCACCAAGCCTGGCAAATTTTTAAAAAAATTTTTGTAGAGATGGAATCTCACTATGTTGCCTAGGCTGGTTTTGAACTCCTGGCCTCAAGTGATCCTCTCAACTCAAAGTGCTGCGATTACTAGAATGAGCCACCACACCCAGCTCTGATCTCTTTTCTTAATAAAACACCCAGGTATTACTTTATGTCAACACAAAACACACAAAGACACATCGATAGATATTAAGGCTTTTTCCTTCATAACAGTATCTCAAAAGTTTTTGTGGAAATATACTAGCACACTACTTCTAGTACATGCACAAAATAGGCTGGAACTGCTGGGTCAACCTCTTGCTTTACAAAGGAGAAGACAGAATCCTAGAGAGCAGAGGAGAGGTGCTCACCTATGGACCCCAAGCAAGTGAGGGAGGAGGGGCTGGGTGCCTGATTCCTGTAGTCTTCACTACTCCAGGAGCCACTTCCTTTGCTTACATGAATAAAACATTCCAAAATGTACAGCAAAGAGTTCACAGGGGAGAGGGGTCTCTGTGCCTCCAATCTCAGGAAAGCAATGAGAATTTAAAAGGCTTGTCTCATAATTAGTTCTCCATAACAAACTTATTCATCTGCTAAACAAACATCCCAAAACCCATTGTGGAAAAACTGTAGTTTAGCATTTGCCTCGTGCTCCAGTGCTAAGTGCACAGGCTGCTACGTGCACAAACACACACAACGCTCCAGGTGTAGTCTTGAGGCCTGAACTTTGGCATATACAAGTTTGATTTCTGACTCAGCCTCTCATCAGCTGTGTGATCTTGGGCAAGTTATTTGATCATTCAAGCCTCAAATTCCTCATCTGAAAAAAATGTGGATAAAATGTGTGCCTACCTTATTGGGTTTTGTGAAAAGGCACATGAGTTAATACATGCAGGTGCTCAGAAAAGCCCTTAGCCCTTAATAAGTATTTGGAAAATATTTAGGATACTCAGTGCTAGTGCAGGGTGAGAAAAAGACAAGGCCCTGGCCTTCAGGAGCTAGTGAATTTATCAGAATGTCAAATAGAAACCTTGGAAACAGGTGTGGTTTCCAGGCAGGAGTGGTGGGTGCAGCAGACACGCCCACCCAGAGCACACAGAGGCCCCTCGCCTCAAGGGGCTCTTTGAAGGGCTGCGACACACACTCAGAATGATCCTAACAAGGTCACACCCTCAGTGATGGGTCCAGGCTGGGTCCCAAGGCTTCTGCAAACACTTACTTATTTTAAGAACTGTACAAAGTCTTGTTAGGCAAACCAGGTCCCTAGAGATGCTCAGAGAGGTGAGCTCCAAGGACACAAATGTGGAAATAGAGCAGGCACACAAGGTTCATAAACATGCCCTGAGCCACGCCCTCCCCACCCCCTCCCCAGGACTCCTCTGCAGAGGCCTCGCCAGCCACCAGTCAGCAGCCGGGTTCTTGGGGACCTCACCTCCCCCAGATTCCCAGGCTCTGCGCATCCTGGTTCTTCCGCTGCCCTGGCAGCTGTCCCTTGGGCTCTCTCCCCGGCCCTCTAGATGTGAGAGGCTACCCCTTCCCCCAGCCCTCATAGCTGCCTCGTCACAAAAACGGAGGCACCTACTGTGAAGATTAAATGGAACAAGCTGGGCAAGAGCTCTGACACCCTGCGTGTGTCCCCCGGCAGCTGGGCTCACCCTGGAACCCTCTCTCCCTTGCCCACCACTGCCTACCAGGGCCAGGGGTCTTGTACTTTATCAGCCTCGCATCGCCCACCCCCAGCCCCGCGCTCCACAGGTACTGCTGATGATGCGACACCACCAGGACAGTTCTGCCCACAGCCCTCACAATCCTGCATTTACTCCCCAGCACCTACTGGAGAAGGACTCAACGTTTCAGGCTTGCACTCAAGGCCTTCTGTGATCTGGCCCCAGCCCACACTTTTCTGACTTGAATATCCACATAACCCTTTTCTGCTCCATAATTAAGTCACTTTCTGGGTGGCATGCCATGAAATTAGGATTCTGTATCCAAATAAGGGGATTAAACTGAGCTGAACAGGTTCATATTGCAGGACTTCAGGGCCTTTAATTCCTTAATGTACACTGTGGCTTTTCACATTTTCCAAGTTTATTCAGACTTCTAGTATGTTTTTCATGGAGTTCAACAAATAATCTAGACAATCTGTATGGCACTGTTTCTCCAGCATGCCTATAGAATGTGCCAGTTGGGGCGTGTGTAGGTGGGCCAGAGAGTACCCCGTGTGGCCTTGTGAGGCATGTTTGTGGCAGTTTGTCACCCCCACTGTGTAAAATCCCAAACTGAGCCAAGCAGCCTCTCTCAGAACACAGGTAGAAAACAAATGGCTGCAGCAATGCCCTGTGGGGCTGACGAGTAGGGAAGTGGTTGGTCTCCCTGGACAGCCAAGGCTGCTGTCTCCACCATCCCACAGCCTTGCGTTCGATGCCCTGGCTGGTTTCTGAGGCTTAAAGCCAAGGAACCTTCACGGACACATAGTTTATTGGGTCCCTGAGTGAAGCCAACCAAATCAGCCCCCCTGTAATGGAGCACCCGGCGCCACCCCCCCAGGTGCAGTACCTGTCCCGTCTGGAGTAGACCTCACAAAGGTGGGCAGCATTTTCACTGACGCAGTGGGGTGGGTGGTGGCTCCAAGCCCTTTCTCCATCTCCCTGCGGAACCGCTTGGAGATCTCCAGGAGAGTCTCATCAGAGAGACGCATGTGGTAGAGATACTGGTCAACCTGAAAGAGGAGGAAAGCAAGAATAAAGATCTATGGGGTAAATAAATTATGTTATAGGTCCACGTCACGGAACATCACTCCATCCTTCAAAAGAATAAAATGTGTTGTAGATAGAAGTTTATTATTAAAGATCATTAATGGGAATTGATTTGACAGGACTTTGTCTTTTAAAAGACTGTAAAAATTAAAATTATAAAAATAGGTTTAATTTTATTTCGAGAGAATGTACAGATCGGGGAAAGGACTATCAGAGAAGAGGAAAGCTCCTTTCAGAATGGTCGAATTGGAATACCTGTGACAACATCCCTGGAACCAGGGTCATTACCCTCATCTCTTGTTCTCCACACACCTCACATGGCCAGTCACGCCCATCTCACTGCTCCTCACCCTAGGCCAGGTAGCCACCACCTCTTACCTGGACTTAAACAATCCCAGGTTCTATTTTTACCTCTTCATCCATTTTCCACCCCAGCCAGACTCTGCTGATCACTGCTGAAAACATTTCAGCGGCTTCCCATGGAAACAAAACCGGAACTCCTTCCAGAGGCTCTACCAATCTGGCCCCTACCTTGGTTGGCATGCATGTGCGCTCTTTGTGCAGACTATTATCCCAGGATCAGTCCCCCAACTTCCCCGACTCGGAGCTCGTGCATACGGGTCCTGCAGCTGCATGCCCTGCCAGTCCCTTGCCAATCCTTCAGGCCTCTCTCCGTAGGGGCCTCCTCTGAGCCTCCCCAACACACAACAGTCAGGCCTCCTGTTACTCCAAGCACTTGAACTTTTCCCTTCACAACACCATCCACAATTTGGGAATATATATTTAGTAGTGTCCAAACCATAAGCACCGAGGGCTGGGAGAACCATGTCTATGTGTTCGCCTTAGTGTCCCCAGAGCCTAGCACAGAGTCTGACACATACGACAAGCTGTATATAAATGATGACACAACCTCTCCTGTGCTCAGCAATGGTGGAAACACTCCTTAGCCATTTCATTGATCTTGTTTCCAACATAAATCTACATGAATGTTTCCCAGATTTAATACCAGGAGAAGGAGAAGCATTAGGAGCCCCTCTCAGATGGTTTCCTTCTCGGAAGCTGTTATCTGCCTTGGCCACAGATAATCCCAGTTTTCTCCAATCAGGGAAAGGTCTCATGGAAACTTATCCAAGAGGCACACACTTCCCACACTGCCACTGTTCCCGGCAGCGGTGTCCACAACAGATGAGGCTGCCAAGCAGCAGCGGGGCAGGAGTAGAGAGAATCAGGAGTCCTCCCAGCTGTGGCCTCAGGTGTGAACATCATGGCCCTCCCAGCTGTGTCGCCAAACTGAGCCACTAGAAGGGATACTGCTTTTTCCAGCTCTGAAATTCCAGGATGCCAAAGGGCACAGCTTTAAGAACAAAAAACAAACCCAGTGTCCTCCTTGGTGACAAAGTAAAAGAGAAAAGTGTCCTAACTCTCATCTTCTCCTTTCCAGGCTGTATCCTATCTCCTAACAGAGTTTGGCGCAAACACTTCTCTTTGGACCTATTTTTGTCCCTGTAGAATAATGACATTGGCCCTCCTCAGACCATTTCAAGGATCCTGACCAGTACTACTGTTTTATTCCTCTTCTAAGATCCCCAAAGTCAAAAGACCAAAGTCTGGGAATGTGCTGGAAGCAGCTGGAAGCCGGCATCAGCCCCTCCACAACTGCCAAGGGGTTAAACACAAAGAGATAGAGAGATGCAGTTCTCGCCTGGGGTGGGGAGTGCGGGGACAGAGTAGGAGCAGAGAATGGTGGAGGGGCAACTTCCTCCTGCTAAGCAGGCCCCCAGCCACTTCTCCACTCCCTCCTCCAGCCTGGAGAGAGACTAGGCTTGTCATGTTGCGTTTGGAATTGCAGAAATGAGGATTTCCCCAAATTTGCCTGTTGCCAGCATTTATTGAAAAGCCACCTCAGACTAAGTCCATAGGTCTAACTCAGGAAGAATCCAATGGTCCCTTCAGTTTGATTTCCAACTCCTTGTGCCTCACTTGCCTTGAAGCCACTGTCCTTTTGCATCTGGCTCAGTCTCCCAGGGCTCCACCCCCCAAGCTAGGTCACTGACCTCTGCTTCCTACAAGACCAGGGAGCCAGGGTGCCTTCCCCATGATGAGGTTTGAGGCTGCCCCAGAGGTAAAAGGTGGAGCTTTGTCAGCCTGACACCAGACAAGCCACCTCACTATTAGAGAAGTGTCAGTGTCCAGCCATGTCTGGTGACCTCAGGCCCAGGGCAATTTTGACAATCCCAGAGTCCTCCCATTCCAGATCCAATGACACCTTGACTGGCCCAGGAACACTATGTCACAACTCGAACATCTTGGTGCTAATATACAAATTCCAGGGCCACCCAAAGAGGCCAATGTCAGGCCACATCCAGCCTGAGATGCCCTCGTGAGCAGCAGTCATAACATCAAATGCTTATGAGGCTCCTACTTTTGCTAGACCCTGTTCCCAAGGTTTTGCCCCCATTAACCCATTTCAGCCTCAGAAAGCGCTCTAAGGTAGGTAGTGTCACCCAGTCCCTCCATCCTGCAGCGGGGAGTCCCACAGACAGGGGCCGAGCAGGGACTGATGGAGCAGGGGGACTCGCCTGTACTCCTGTCCACTCTGCTAAATGACTGCCTCTTTCCTGCTGGACTAGAGCACGGCCTATACAGGCCAAATGGCACTGTAGCAAATGCAAGCTGGCCATGCCCATCAACAGGTCACCTTCAATTCCAGTCATCACCCAGCATAGACTTGAAGGGCGGACAGCGGAAAGCCTGGCCCACAAGGCTGGCTGAGCAGGTCAGAGGGCAACAGACATGTCTCTGGACATTGTCCTCCCACCTTGCTACTTTCCCAAAGAGTAGGAGACTCCCAGAAGCCTCACTGCTGCACACACACACACACACACACACACACACACACACACCCTCCGCAGGTGGCTCTGGGCATTTGCAAAGGCAGCAAGAGAGCTCCTGCCTGGAAGAACAGACAGAGCCCGTCCTGTCCTGCCTTGTTAAGAGGCTCCATCATCTCATCCTGAAGCAGCAGATCATGCACACAAAAGAGCAAATCGTACAGCAGCCAACTTAGTTTATCTTTGATGTCTGAACAGCTACAAGTTGTTGGAAATCCACTCAGATACTTCTTATCCTTAACCCTAGGAGAATCAAGTTAAATGGTCACCCTTTTACTCAAGTCATGCTGCCCTTTGCCCAGTAGATTAGAACTATCTCTCACGGGTTCAATGACAGATGAAAAGGATGACAATGATGACAGGTGCAGTCGCTAAACATTTATCAAGCATTTCCTACCTGTCAGGCGCCATCCTGCAGCTTTACTGACTTGATCTCCCTTGTCTTCTTATAAAACTTCTGTACCCCTGTGTCACAGGTCACTTGGGTGGTGAGGGGCAGAGCTGGGGCTCAACAGAGGTCTGCTGGCTCCAGTGCCAGGTCCTCAGGACCACCACCCTTGCCTGTCCTGTGTCCCCTCTTAGTGTGGGTAGCAACCCTGCTGGCCCTGTGGTTTCTTGAACAACCCCAGGACCTTAGTTTCCTTTTCATCCCAGGAGGAGACCAAGGGTAAGGATATGGAACAGCTGTGGATAATGCCAAGTCCAGGACATTGGCCCAAACTTCCCCTCCTTCACCTTGGCCAAAGCTTGGGAGTGGATGGCACCTGGGCATGATGATGTATCCACCCAGCCTATTAGAGCCACTCAGGTGGGGATGACTAATCACCTAATGTCAGAGCTTCCTAAACATACGAGCGGTGCCCACCCCGCCCTGGCAGGCACTGCTGTGTTGAGTGAACAGTAGCCAGGGGAAACAGAAGTCAGAAACAAAAAGCAGCTGCCATATAAAGACAGTTTCCCGAGTTGGGAAGGAAGTGAATGCAGTTTTCAGAATCCTGCCAACTTTCAGCCACAGTGCAGCCGGAGGGAGGGAATACCAGGCCCAAAGTCATGGGACAAAGCCATTTAGGAGATACCATGTGTATACACGGCAATGAGACTACAGCTAAAAACAATATTCACTCTTAGAAAGGAAAGGCCCCTGGGGCAAAATCCCACTGAACATAGCATTCGAGTTTGTCTAGTTTGTCTCCCTCCACCCAGTAGATAGTCATCCGCCCTAGGTTTGAATGCTTCCAAGCCTGAGAGGCTCACTATTTCTCTAAATTCCATTGTTGGTCAGCTCCAGTTGTTTGAAAGATTTTCCTCAATCAGAGATAAATCTGCTTTGTGATAACTGCTGCCTAATCTCCATCCTGCCTCGTGCGATAAGAGTTTCCAAGCTCGGCTGCACATCAGAATCACATGAGGAGCTTTTAAAAAACAATAAGAATTCCAAAGATCCACTCCAGACTAAGCAATCAATACCTCTAGGCCTGGGAGCACCAACATCTTGCCCTGTCTAAAGGCAGGTTTCCACTGCGACAGCAATGCGGTCATGGTGGGCCCTGTTCTGATCAACGCCGCTTAAGGTCCTTTTCGCCACTTTTCTGCCTGGGGTCTTTGAAAGTCAGTAGTTAAGAGACAAGGCCAAGTGTGCCCCAGCGAAATAATCCTGTGTTGATCCAGGGTGCTGGGAGTTACAAAGACAAACCCTGCACTTTGTTGTTCAGAGATTTAAGTTGCAGAAAACCATCGGAGCGGAATCACTGAGGCCAACCCTTACTTTGCAGCTAGTGGTGGCGGAGTGAGGGCTCTGGCATCAGAAACGCCCGCTGTAGCATTTGTGCACGGGTGACTCGCTCTCCAGCTGAACCCCGGCTTCCTCGATGTACCTCGAGACTAACAAAGCAGTCATCGGCATAACTGAGGTGACAAGGGGAGAGCTCTAGTCGCCCCCTTTCCTCCCCGCCCCCCACCTCTTTCTTCTAGACTTCTCTCTGCCCAGTGGCACCTTCGGAGGATCAAGGACATTTCTCAACCCTATTTAGTCATGCTTGGGTTAACAAAGCAGAGCCTGTTTCCCCAAACTG